GCAGGAGAGGTGGAGAGAAACAGGGGTAGCTGATACTACCCCTCCTTGGAGAAAATAGGACTGGTTAAAATTTTGCTAATTTAGGTCACTGATTTCAGTGAGGTCAGGAGTTAATGGTAGTAGGAAAGTATCCCTCTGGATTTCATCAGTGAAAGGTGACGCACCAACCATAAACCTCACAAGACTCTCAAACTAAGAGCCTAGCCTTGAGGAGCTTTGAAGATAGACCACTGATTTCAGTAAAATGACATGACACAGACAACATAAATTTACATTTGCTCAGCAAAAGCTGGTGGATATCTCTGTGATAGGATGCTAAGGGCAAAAATTCACTATCATACATTGAAGTGCCATTTCCATAACCATTTATTTACATCTTTTGGAATTTAGGCTATATTCAGATTCTGTCTCCACCTGTGGCAGAACAGAATCACCCAGGTGGGTGTATAACTGCTCAGATTGAAATGACTGGGGAAGTTTGGTCCACTTCGTAGCTCAACAGCTTAGCGGTCAGGGCATCTGATCAGAGGGTGGGAGCCCCAGGTGAAAAACCTCCATCACTCAACTGAGGTTTGCAACTGCATCTTCTACTTTCTCAGCAAAATGCTTTTTCAGGCAGCCTATGGGCCAGGCATTGGCTCAGCAGGCTCCAGCTCCATACCTAAGGGTGGCCCACTGGGCAGTCAAAAAGGGAAGATGTAGGTCCAGGAATAGGAGAGCAAGCAAGAAGGAGGGAGACTGAGACGATCGCTATGGGTGTCTATACATGTGCTCTGGGGAAGGAAGGTGGGCGTTTTAATTAAATTGCAGCAGAGTCGCTTGTATTTAGCATCCTACGTTTCAAAATGGCAGCAGGGGTGCTTTAACTAAAGCTTGTTTGATGAGCTGTAGTTAAAGCACCCCTGCCACCATTTTGAAATGTAGGACACTGAATACACATGATGGTGAGGCTTGCTGGAGTCTAATCCATCAGACTTGATTAATCTAATTAGGGTGCCTATACACGCTATGCGATGCATTTCATCTTGAAAGGGCTATTGGTTTGGCCCCTGACCACAACATTTTCTGCACCTAGCATTTCCTTTTTGTTGGATAAAATAGATAAACAGCTGTGGCATAGCCGGTGCCCCATCAGGGTCTGGGGCCCGGGCAAAAACTTTCTGGTATCAAAGGTCTGCTAGTTTGGGGTTTCTTCTAACCAAAGCTTTGGGATACACACACACACACCCCCACCCACACCCACACCCTGATTCTATTCTTTCCTGTCGCCTACATCACTTGAGTGAAGATTTCCATGCACATGCAACAGGGAAGCTCAGGGTAAGCACAGTTGCAGCAGGGCAATTCAAATCTAAGATCTCTCCAGGCACTAAAACTTCCATTTTAGTGACTACAGAAGTGCTACTTGGGCAGGCAAAATTTAAAGGAAATTTAGATGCATCTCTAAGTGGATGCATGAAGAAGTGGGCAGCTTCTTCAGACGTGCCTAAAGGAGATGAATATTTTGTTGTGGAAATATTTTCAGCTCCCGCACTTTTTTGTTGAAAAGGCAGAAGTGTATCAACTGCAACATTTGTGCAATTGAGAACAACACTGAAAATTAAACCTCCCCGAAAAATCAACATGCTCATTGTCATATTTCCAAAAGGGGACATCTCATTTTTTGCAATAAAAAATGAAAATGCGCCTTAAAGACTTAAAATATATTTTTAATTTTTTAAAAGCTGAAAATTCCTATGTTTTGTTTTGATTCAGGAGAAATATTTCATTTCCCTGGAAAGGATTCTAACCGGAAAGTTTTATTCTTTTTTCTTTGTGACAGTACAATTTTTATGATTTTAATTATTTCCAAAATGTCCCTGGACTGAAAAATTAGATGTGTGAAAGACTCAACTTGCAAGGGGGATTGTCACTGGCATAGAACAAGTGTGAAAATATTCATGAAAATCCCAGGTTGGTGAGATGAACTCCTATTAGGATCAGTGCAAATCAGTAGTGATACAGAGCATGTGTTTGCCTTGGCTTAAAATACTGCAAGAGTGCCACACATCAGTCCAAAGCACAATGCTCAGACCACAGTCTTCTTAGATGTCAGGCTGGGGAAAACCAAACTGGAGAAAGAGATCCCAGCACTGAGAATCCCACCCAGAAAGCAACCTCTTGGCATCCCACTCTGCTTCAATTTAGAAAATTACTTGAGCTTGCAGTTTGATCCAGCATTGCTCAGAAAACCCCCCAAAGGCATTGGTCTTTGGAGGGGCTTAAGTACTGCTTCTGAATAAGGAGGCTTTCTGACTTAGCTGCTTAGCTTACCTGATACCATGGGTTACCCCCCTTTGAACTTAACAGGGCTGGATGAAAACTTTTTGCTGACTTCATATCAAGATGAATTTGTAGTGAGGCAGTAGGTTTCTGAGTACAGTGGAAAAAATTCACTGTTCTAAAACAGAAGGGGATTGCTTTTCTCTTTCACATATTCAGGTTTCAAAAACAACACACACACACACATGCACGCACACCAAAAAGGCAAAAAGAGGAAATTCCCACCCCCCTCAATTTTAAAACAACAACAAAAAAACCCTCTCCTGATCATTTCTGTTCCTTAAATTCTTGCCTTTTAGCATCCTCAGCCAACTTTGAAAGCCCAGCTATCTAAACCTCAAGGACATCTCCTTACAATGAAGAAAGCATCCAATAACTTTAGTTAAGGAGTGAAGAGAAGAACCGTCCTAGGCGTAGTTCCAGCTCCAGCTCCAGCTCAGCTGTCTGTCTCTGATCAAAGGAAAAAAAGCTGCACTGGAAGTGACATCTTAACCAGTACTGGTTTTTAATGATCATTGCATTATCATACAGTATTATAGTAGAAAAAGTGTGAAATGCATTTGGTAAGTCATGGGAAGCTTCCTGGACTGAATCCCTGTGGCTCAATTAAAACAAAGAAGTTTGGTTTGTAAATTGGATTGGAGAGAGGTGTAAAGCTGCCCTTGTTGAGTTACAAAACTGCTTACTAGCTGGGAGTAAAAGGCTCCTGGGACTTCCTAAAATGTTTTGCAACCTGGCCATGCCACCTCCTCCTCTCCCACCCTCCCATACCCTGTGCTGCTGGGGGGTGGTGCCAAGAGGGGAAAGGTGGGCAAGGGGAACTATCAGTTTTACCAAGTTCGGACTAAATGAGGACATTTCTTCTTTTTTGGTAGATGATGGAGAATGAAAATTTGAAAACTTTTAATTTAGTAATTTGAACCAAAATGGAACCCTCTGATATGTTGCGATTTAACAGTTTCACGGTAGGCTGTTGATATGAGTCATTTTACTTTGTTGTGAGAGAGTTCAACATCGATCTGCATTTTCCCACTGTGCTATACTGCTTCCTCACAGCTGTCAGTTAGGAGTTTGATGCCCCATTCTTTTCAATAGGCCAGATACCCTTCATCTTCCATGAAGAATCCTGAGGCTTGGGATGCCCCTGATACGACACAGGGCATGGTCAACTGGGTCCACATTGCCTTAAGGATGTGTAACCCTTTGGGGTCTCAGTCAACTGAAGTGGACAATGGGCTGTATTCCCAGCCCCCTAAGACAATATGGTGACATTGTGAGACAAAATACAAGGCAAGTATTGACATATGTATTGCCAATAGGAGTGTGCAAAGTGGGCTGTATTCAATTCGGATTCAGATTTGGCCCGATGCAGGGGACAGTGATTTGATTAGCTGATTTGGATCATTGTCCCGATTCGATTCAGCCCAAAATGGAACTGAAGATTTGATTCTGATTTGGAAAATCAGTGATTCGGCCATAGACAAAGCTTTATATGTTTTTTCTACATACCACAAGGTACCGGGTGTGGCTCGTGAGCACTGAGATGGTGGGGCAGATGGAGCATCCCACAG